GTCCTGCTTTACAAATGAAGAAACTGAACATAGAGTGATTAAGAAACTTGCCCTAGATGGCCGGCGCTGCGGCTCACTAGGCTAATCCTCCGCCTTGCGGCGCCGGCACACCGGGTTCTAGTCCCGGTCGGGGCGCCGGATTCTGTCCCCGTTGCCCCTCTTCCAGGCCAGCTCTCTGCTGTGGCCTGGTAGTGCAGTGGAGGATGGCCCAGGTCCTTGGGCCCTGCACCCGCATGGGAGACCAGGAAAAGCACCTGGCTCCTGGCTTCTGATCAGCGCGATGCGCTGGCCACAGCACGCCGGCTGTGGCGGCCATTGGAGGGTGAACCAACGGCAAAAGGAAGACCTTTCTCTCTGTCTCTCTCTCACCATCCACTCTGCCTGTCAAACAAACAAACAAACAAAAAAAAAAAAAAAAAAGAAAGAAAGAAACTTGCCCCAGAGTGCGTGTTCTTAACCAACACAATGTGGTCTCTCCAAGAACGCTGTACTCATTATTTCATTTCATCCTTAAAGCAACCTTTAGAATTACATATTATTAGCTCTGCTTTTGCAGGTTGAAAAAGCTGAGGGTGCAGACACTTAGTCTGGTGGTTAAGACTCCCATGTCCCATATCACAGTGCCTGGGTTCGACTGCTGACCCTGACTCCCTGATTCCAGCTCCTGCCAATACAGACCCTGGGAGGAGGCAGTGACAGCTCAAGTAATTGGATTCCTGGAACCCACAGGAGAGACCTGGATTGTGTTTTGTCTCCTAAAGTTAGCCCCAGGGAGTGAACCAGCAGACGGGAGCTGCCTCTGTCCATCTCTGTCTCTCTCAGGATCATGGAGATTATAATTTGGCCAAGGTCACCCAAGCAGGAAGCAGAAAGGTCAGTATTGAACTTGGCTGTGAAACTCATGCTTTTCCCTCTACTTCCTGCTGCTGCTGGTTCAAGCAGGGGTTCAACTGCAGAGAAGGGGTTGGCGGGTTCAGGGCAGTTCATTTTTGTGCCACATCCAAAAGTGGCTCAGGTTACAAAAAGGTGGTTTTCTGGGCTGAGGACACCACGACCTAACTAGAGGCCATGGGTTCCAGGAGAACAGGACTGTGCAAAACAAGTAGTTAAAAAGTTTACTAAACCAAGATCAAAGTATCAAGCTGCTGATAGGAGAGCTAGCAAGATGTGCTGATTTTCTGGTTGTTACGCTTCCTTTAAATTTTTTTTAAATTCATTTTATTTATTTGAAAGGTGAAGACACACAAACAAAACACATGGTGATATAAACAGAGATATCTCTCATCTGCTGGTTCATGCCCCAAAGGGCTGCAACAGCTATGACTGGACCAGATCAAAAACAGGAGCCACAAACCCAATCCAGGTCTCCTCTTTGGGTGGCAGGGATCCAACCACTTGAGCCATCACCTGTTTTCCCCTCTGGGTACTCATTAACAGGAAGGGGCAATTGGAAGCACAGCTGGGGCATGAACCCAGGCACTTTGATATGGGATGTGGGCATCACAGGCAACTTTTTTTAAAAAGATTTATTTATTTATTTGAAAAGTAGAGTTACAGAGAGAGGTAGAGACAGAGAGAGAAAAGTCTTCCATCTGTTGTTTCACACCCAAAATGGCTGCAATGACTGTCGCTGGGCCTTGCTGAAGCCAGGAGCCAGGAGCTTCTTCTGAGTCTCCTGCATGGGTGTAGGGGCTGAAGGACTTGGGCCATCTTCCGCTGCTTTGCCAGGCACATTAGCAGGGAGCTGGATCAGAAGTAAAGCAGCCGGCACTCGAACTGCCGTCTGTGCCACAGTGTCGGCCCCCTGACTTCTTAACCACTGTGATGAACACCCACCCCAAGGTTGTCTTTTCAAATAAACTCTCCCTTTATATTTGCAGGTACTTGGCTGGCCCAGGATATAGCCTAGGGTTGTAGGCTAGAAGCTAATGGTCAGTCACTAGCTGCTCTAGCTAAGTGAGCTAAAAGACCATGGGCAACAGAGCTCTTGTCATGGTATTGTTCTCAGAATTTGGAATGATAAAGGCAGAATAAATCTCTAATCAAGGAAAAACTTACCCTTAGGTAACACACACACACACACACACACACACACACACATAAACAGAGCCAACTATATTTTTTGATGAATGACTAGTGGGGCTTTCCAAGAATCTGGCAAAATTATACTTGAAGGGGTTTAAGCCTTGAGATTCATGAGAGCTGTTAACCTCCTTATGTTATCATTTTTCCAAAATAATCAAGGGAAGAGCAGAACGGGGTTTTCCTTAGGGGGTTTCTAAAATGGGATTCTGATCACTTTATCCATGCTCAAGTTTATAGTGCCAAACGTTAAGCAGCATGGTAGATAAATAGCAACCTTATGCCAGAGCAATTCAGAAAGGCTCATAGAGAATAAAATTAAAAGATAAGCTTATCTTTTTAAAAAATGGAAATCAATGAGTTCTTTTTTATAATATGCCTTTTGTGTGAACTTCTTAGACTCCTCATATTTTTTATCATTGTGGACCTTTCTACATTTAGGTGAGAGAACCTATATGGGGGAAGGAAACAATCATGCATTCAATTTACTCATTCACTGAATTTATCTCATGTTGAGACGGTCTGCAGAAAATGTAGTTTAAAACTAAATTTTATACTATGTTAATTAGCACTCATTAGATCAGAAAAAAATTAACAATGTGCTAACAAAATTTTCCAAGCAGAGAAGGTTCTGTGATGGCAGGAGTGTGCCTTGTCAGTGACATGGTCCCAGTGTTTTAAAAAAAAAGCCTGGCACAGAGCTGGTGCTCATCAACTATCCTATGTCCATGTAACTGTGTATGCAGGCACCTATGTATCCATCTTCCCAGCCAGGACAGTCTCACTGTCTATGTGTCTACACACCTGTGTATGTTTGTATCTATATGTCCATCTACCCAGCCAGGACTGACTAGCCATGAGTCTATGTAACTGTGTATGCGTGTATCTATGTATCCATCTACCCTATCTTACCATGGTTCCTTCCAGTTTATCACCTTGATGATGATGATGATGACCTTGGTAGTGCAATGTTCTTGGGAAACACTATGCATTAATTCTCCCAACAATGCTACTCAGCAATTAAAATTACTGTCCTTAACTTGCAGCTGAGGGAGACAAGGGTTGGATATTCTCCATAACATGCCCAAGTCACAGCACCAGGAAGGGGACAGAGCATGGCTGGTGTCTAAATTCCTGATCACTGTTCTAGACTGCTTGCCTCTAGTCGGTGTTGGTTGGAGATGGTAAACTTGAATTCTTTCTTGGAGTCAAGAGGGAAAGTCCTTTGGGTTATTTCAACATGACTTTTTTGGGAAGTGAGTAGCAAGAGGAAAGTATTTCTATAGCGTACCATACTCCAGGGGAGGTTGTTTTTGGCGACAAAACCTTTCAGAAACTCACCAGTGAGGATTCCAACAATGGCTACAACTTATCTGTAAGTCCCTTTTGAGGGTGAGGCACAACCAGTTTTTCCATATCTACTTCATTACAAAGTGGGAGTGAGGTTCCCAGAGTAGTTCCTAAAGCCCATTTAGCTACTAATTAAAATACTGCATATCTGCAGTGATAAACTAATCATTAAACAAGAAGGAGAAAGGTAGCATTCAGAAAGACATAATTGATAAAATTCAGTGCTCAAGGAAATGCAGACTTAATGAAGAGGAAGGTTTGCTTTTTAATCTGAAAGAAACTTCTGGATGCTTTTATAAAGGCTTTTCCACACAGGTCACACTGGAGTTTCTCTTCCAATTTCTCTTTGAAAACTGGCCTTTCCTGTTCTATGCACTTTGGCTGCAGATGACGTTACAAGGCCTTCTCCAATCTGGACACCCTCATTAGATCGATTTGGTGCACATTTAGAACACACAATTGGAGAACAAAGGGAAGGAGGAGGGGAGAGATTCTGAGCAGCTGCTCTGGACTGGCTGGGGTGACCACAAGAGATGAGAGAAGACATCTGCATGGACATGGGAAATGACAAGTGTCGTTTCCAAGTGGGGACGGAGGATAGATAGGAAGGGAGGGCAGTTGGATGCTCCCTGAGGAAGAATCGCCGCCCTGGTGGTGGTGGTGGTGGTGGTGCTGTGTGTATGTACAAGCACCACAGTGGCCCTGGCATGGTGTATTCTTGTGTTTGGTTTCCAAGCCTCTGCCTGCGGTGTCAGCATCCCATTTGGGCATTGGTTCGTGTCCCAGTTGCTTTTCTTCTGATCCTGCTCTCTGCTATGGCCTAGGAAAGCAGCTCAGGATTGTCCAAGTGTTCGGGCCCCTACCCCCATGTAGGAGACCCGGAAGAAGCTCCTGGCTCCTGGCTTTAGCCTGGTATAGCCCCAGTCATTGCAGCCATTTGGGGAGTGAACCAGTGGATGGAAGACCTTTCTCTCTGTCCCTCCCTCTCTCTGTCTGTAACTCTACCTCTCAAATACATAAATAAAATAAAAAAAAATCACCCCAAACTATGAAGATATGATCTCAGGCAAAAAAACCTAGTTTTATGGAAAACGCTACACTTAATATTTTTCACTTGTTGCATCAGAACCAGAGAAAATGTCATTAACAAACTGGGCACACATCTGCAGACCACTCTTGAGAACATCTGTATTTAGGGACTAGTGGCCTCTCTGCATTCTTCCATCACGCAGGTGAGAAAACTCAAGCCTTGGGCGGCCCGGCTCTCCTGGGATGATGAAGCGAGGGATGAGGAGAGGGTCCCGGGCTGTTTCCTGACCCCAGGCTGACTCTTGCTTCATTGCATCACCATTCTCTACTGCAGCTTATTTGTTCCACCTTGCCAAGGTTCAGACAGGACCGTGTCTGTCTGCAAAGCATGGAGGGTACCAGCCATTTGTACTCCTTTGCCAATGTTTCCGAAGGCAAAGATATTATTAAGAAATCTGCTTTCAGCAGAACAGCGCTCAGCTTGGAGCCCAGCGAAATGAAATCCCTTTCTTTTTAAGGAAGGGGAAGGTGTGTCTCACCTGATCTTCAGGTATGCGGCCACTCCAAACACCAACAACACCACGGCAATGACAGTCACAGTAATGGCGGCGATGCTGCCTGTGCAAGAAGAAGCCAAGGGAAGGAAGAGAAAAGAGAGTTTAACCACGGCGGCATGCCTACCACTCACCTCTGCCTGGCTTCAGCTTTCCTCCGGAAGAGGGAGAAGTTATTCACCTTCAGGGAACTTGGCACTGGAACTTGGAACAAAACTGAGGGTCTTAATTCTGCTGCCATAAACCTTTCTCTGCTGGGCGAAGTTTGGTAAATGGTCAGGATTTACTTCCATACTTGTCTTTTGGCTGGCCTGGAAGTCAGAGACCAGTGCACAGTAATATTTGTTTACCTTTCTAAGAATGCCACCCATCTGCTGCTGCTGGCATTGTTTGTAGGAGTAGTAGATTTTAAATCTCTTGATGTTCTATTTTCTTCTTTTATAGGCTCTGGCTTATCTTCCTCTAACTTGTGAAATATTGGGAGACTGGTGTTTACTCAAAGGTCACTCAAAGCCATGCAGCAGGTTTTTAATAAAGCAGAACCACACAGGTCTATCAGTAGTGCCTGCTTCAAAAGGGTCTCCTTGGGAGATGGGCCAGTTTGAGTGGTGCCATACAGTGAAGGCATTTTTGGAAAAACTCCTCTTTGAGAAGCATGGCCAGCTTTCATTCTCGGATGGGAAGTTGGTTTTGTGGAGAATAAAAGTCAAGTTTGGTGTAAAAATAAGGTCAAGTCTGGGAGGTAACACAATTTTTTTGTTGTTTGCAGAAATGAGCAGGTACAATTATAAAGTAAAAATCAACTATAATGGGCATTTAAGCCCCCCCCCCCCACCTTGAGCCTCCAGCCTTGTAGGAATACCCATGCTGCCTCTGAATTCTGTTGAGAAGCACAACATTCTTTTTGTGTGAGCTTTGGACTAATAATGTGTACACTTCAGTTTTATTTCACTTTAGAAATGCCAAGAATCAATTGAACCCTTATCTCCTAATACATAGAATGACTTCTAAGCACTAAAGCTGGTGTTAGGGAACCAAGCTTCCTCTTTCAAGCCACTGGGGAATTGCATACTACTTTAACAAATGAATGGGACTCAGCTTACACACACTGGAAAAAGCACGAGAGATTTGCAGACTGAAGGTTGGACTCAAGCATGGTTCAACTATTATTAGTTATGTGGCCACAAGCTGTTGAGTTACCCCTGACTACCTCACGGGACCTGAAGGAGATTAGGAGGTGTGACATGTACCAATCTAAAGTACTATACAAGTGTGGTTCTGTGACTGACTCCCATCTCTCAGGCCCCAGGTTGCCCCTATTGTTTTTGGAGATTTATCATTTGCAGATTGCTTGGCCATCTCTCCTTTTATTCTTTTCCCTTTCCTATGAATGGCTTTTGCTTATTGTTCTTTTTGTTATTTCTTCCACCAGAAGAATTAGAGCACAGCTAAGAAGCAAATCTACTTATTACTCATTAGCAGCTCTCCAAAAGTCTTGGGTGAGAGAAGGCAACATCACACTTGCCTGCTCCAGCTGGTTATAGTTTTTAAAGGAACCAGAGAAGCTCATTGCTAACATCAGGATGAAGATCAGAGTGATGTGTCTACACTGACTGACCATACTCAATCATTGTGGCATTTGCACACTATGAGCACTTGCATATCCATTTTTTTTTTTTTTTTTTGCTTTTGGAATCCTTCTGAGCTGCATCAGTATAATTATCTTTCCTTTTTCAGAATTGCAAAGATAGGATTGAGGCACTGATTCTCAAATGTGCAGATTGGGTCACATAGAGAAAGTCTGAGGTCAGATTCCCTTATAAAAAGCCTCCACTCCTACTTTGAAAGGCTACTCTTAGCTTCTTGGCCTCCTGAGTGTGCTGAAATTAGAACAATTCAAAGTTCACTGACGCCTCCTAACAGCCCTTTTAAGAGTTTATGAAAGGAGGTTTATAACCACAAGGCAAGGTGATGGGGGTGTTTTGAGATTCAAAAAGATATAGTCCTTGCAATTAGAAGCTATCGAAAAACTGATCTTTTAATTTCATTTGTCCCTTTAAAAAAACTGGAGAAGATAAGAAAAATAGCTGGTTTTCCTATTGATAGTTTCATATAGGAAATCATGGTTTCACTTTTGCCCAAATTTCCTCTCTAACTCTAAGCAGTTGGATCTCCTCCAACTCTGTGATTCACGGAATTTATTTATTTACTGCTACCAACTCCAGTGCTTTTTTATTTGTTTGCGATAGTCAGTGGTAGAGTAACCACTTCTCGATGAGATGGTGGCTGTCTAGCTTTCTGTAAATGGGGCCACCTTCCTTGTCCATGGAAGCCGTCAGCCTATGTGTCCAGAGCTGGAATGAGCAAGTGACTTTGTACAGGAGCGGCCCTGGAGGGCAGCTGGGCACAGGGGCACTTCTGAGAGCTGGAATGGAACCGCCCAGTAAAAGACCCAGAGGTATAATGTCAAACATTTGCACTTAAACAGAGGACTCAGATTGCCTTATTAACTCTTCAGCTACCCGCGGGCTCCTCTCACAGGGGGCCAGCCATGGGAGCAGAAGTCCTCTGGAAGTAGAAGTCTTGTTAGCTCTGAGGCTGGGAGAGCCTGCAGCCTGAGCTTGCTGTCAGGCGTCAGGCAAGGGTGGTAACCTCAGCCCTGGGAAGCTCCACCCCGGTGGCCACCACAGTTTGAGCACATGGTGGTGGTGGTGGTGGGGGGCAGTTACTGAGCTAACCTAGCATGTTCCTGTGGTGACTGAAAACGATTACTTCCTCTTTGCGAAAACAAATGTCATTACTCCTGAGTTCTCTTTTCAAAGAAACCAGAGTTTCCCTCTTCCTCCTCTCCTTTCTGGGACGTATGGGGAAGGTGTGTCCGGCAGCAGGGAGGCTCTGCCTGTGAAGAAGGTGCAGGATGCTTGCTGGGCAGTGTGCTTGGAGGGTAGTGGGGAAGGAACCTGTTATACAAGTTCTTCCTCCTTAGGATTTGCGAGTTACAGAGCAGGTGTGACTCAGCCTGAAATGCTCAGGAACAGGCAGAATCACAGACAGAACTGGAGGAAATGGATCTATTTTATAAGCCAAGATACAAGAATGATCCACTGTGTTAGCACATTCCACTGCACCAACACATTTCACCCACAGGACTGTTGAAGGTCCATGAAGCAAAGCCCCTTGAAGTTTGGGCCTCCCTGAAGTCTGGACTATCTCAGGGTCCCGCTTGGGTAACAGCCTAGAAGGGGAAGGAAGGAGCTAAACAATGATCATAGCTTGCATTTTCAGGTGACTATGCTGGGCCAAGAAATTTACAGCTCTCATGCAATTTCCTTTATGGGAAGAGGGGAATATGAAAGAGGAAGTGAAGGAGAGATGTAGAGCTTGATGGAGGTGTTACAGCTGGTAAATGATTGAGCCTGTGAACACAAGACTATCCCATCTAGGTTTTGCATTATCAATCATTACTCTACCAGCTACTTCCTTCTGCCCTTTTCTCAGCTTGGCCAGGTTGTCTCTGTGTGTTCTTGGATCTTTGTGTCTCCTTCTTTCAAACACTCGGTGTTGGGTTTATAAGTTTTGGCAGGCAGATTCCAAGCACAGCAGTCCCACAATTCTTGCTGTTTCTTGTGGACTCCAAGCATCAGACGGTCTCTAGCTCACACCACGTATTTAAATCATTTACTTAATATTGAATAAATAAATGCAATATACTTTTAAAATATTAACATACTTTTTATTTAAAATATTTTATATTTTTATATTTATTTTAAATAAAAAGTATTTTATTTATTTTAAAATATTTTAAAATACTTTTACTTATTTATGAGAGAGAGAGAGAGAGAGAGAGAGAGAAATATCCCATTGGCTGGTTTTCTCCCCAAATGCCCTGAACAGCTATAGTGGGGCCAGGTCAAAGCTTGCAGTCAGGAACTCCACTGAGGTCTCCTATCAGTATGGCAGGAACCCTACTACTTAAGATATTACCACTGCCTCCCAGAGTGTGCATTAACAGGAAGCTAGAATTGGGAGTAGAGCCAGTAACTGAATTCAGGCCTTCCAATATGGGATGTGGGCATTCCAAATAGAGTCTTAAGTGCCATACCAAATGCCCACCCCCCAAAATGTAATGGTGATGAAAAGAAAATGGAAACTGAAGTATTTGATTCTAAGTGCTATACTAAGATTTTATTTTTAGCAGTAGGCTCTCTGCATCTTTACCTTGGAATCCCTTGTTCCAGGTCTTCCCTGAGAACCCACTCCTATAACTACATCTAAGGTCCAGCACCCTGGCCCCTTGCCCTTCACCTCGTGTCCCTGAGAGTCTTCATGGGTGACAAGGTGATTGGATGGAAGGAAGTTTACTCTGGAAAAGTTGTCTGAATGGAGTTAGATAATATCCCTGAAGCAGTCAGAGCAAACTCCCAGAGGGCCAAGCTCCTGGCTGGACACAGTTCATGACCACCCAACTCCTTTATAGTCTTGAGGCAGGATGCAGCCCTAGAGGTCATCAGTCCCCTGCCTGGACTCTGGTCTGTTCTGCTTCCTATGACAGTCCTGGCATAAACTGTGGTATTGATGTGGGCAGGCAGAGAGCTAGAGAGGAGGAACTGAGAAAGCCAGCAGTCTCTGTGCTCCAGCCCCATACCGCACAAACCCCACCCCTTTCTGTGCTAATCAACATGACTGCAGGCTTCACATGCCCATTCCCCATCACGCACCTCAGCTTCACTTCCCATCATGCACCAGATGCCAGGATGACCATGGGATGCTGCAGCCCCACAGAAAGAAGCCATGACACTTTCCTGGAGATCATCACGTGCAATACGTCCTTTGACTATTCAATTAGAGCATACCCTACCCTGTAAAGGGTGGGTGGGGGCACCGCCTTTTCTTCATCATGGAGACAGGATAAGAAGATAAGAAATATAACTGAGTGCCTGCACTCAGGTCTGAAAATGAGCTATCCCTTCTAATAATTCCCACTTTCCTGTACACCTTTACATCTCCCCAGTTCCTTCAACATCTGGAGAGAAGAACTTGGAAAAACACTACTGGGGACCCCTG